ATCACAGAATTACCAGCAAGATCAACGTCCAGCCAGACGGTCGTTTCATCATGTACTTTAATGCTAAGGGCATGAACACATCCGGGTTCTTTTTAGGAACAAAAAGTCTTCAGTTGTGTTGTGGGTTTCCTTGATGTCCAACCTCAGCTAGGTTCAGCCATTCCATGTATCTGTAGTTGGCTGATCCAGACGTAGCAGGTTCGGAGACGGGAAGAATCAGCACCACCAGACACAATCGGAGGAAAATTTTGGAGGTTTCCTCAGTCGTCCTTCTTAAATGTGCCGTCAATGTAGGGCACCCAGTCCAGGATCAGCCACCAGTCGGTGGCCCACACCAGCCCCACGGAACCCACAGCTCCCCACAGGCCTGCCATGGGCAGCCAATTCTTCGCCAACTCCCGGTAGCACGGGCCCAGGAACCTGGTGAGCATCTGATTTAAAATTTTGAATGGACTATTATGATCCCCCTTTCTTTGGGGGATAGCAAACATATAAAGAAAAGACAAACTGTACAGAGCTGCATGGCTCAAGGTATCACAACCGTGACCGGAGCCCAGTGACACACCCTTGTGTGTGTTCCTCCCCCCCACCCTCCCCGCTCCCTCTGCTTCCCTCCTGTGTGTCCTCTCGCCCCTGACCCTGCCTCCCCATAGTCCCCAAAGTCTTCTCCTCGGGTGTGAAAGCCATGTCTTTCTTGTTCTTGTTTATAATAGCAGGGTCATGAACTATTTACCTTTATGAGATGGACTGACTTGGCTGAGCATAATACCCTTCACTTTCCCCCATGCTGGGAGGGGCTTGACAGTCTCATCATTGCTTGTTAAGGATGGGTGACATTCCATTGTGTGCATGGACCAGAATTTATTCACCCATCCCTCCACAGACGGGGGTTTGATGGTTTCCATCTTTTTGCTCTTCTAGCAATGGCTGCGATAAACCTAGGTATGCATAGATCTCTTCATGTTTCGTTCTTTAATTCTTTGGGGCATATACCATGTACAGAGATGGCGGGATCATGCGTATTTCTCTTCACATTTGTTTCAGGACATGCCATCCTGCTTTTCATAGTGGCTGTCCAATTCGGCAATGTATGAGAGCTCCAATCCTTCCACATCCTCTCCAGCATTGTTTTCTGGTTTTTAAATTTTGACGGGTGTCCCTGTGAGGTGGTAGCTCACTGTTTTAATTTCTATTTCTCAGATAGCCCATGAACATGAGCATTCACCTCATGCCCCCACCCCTACCCCGTGGAGTGGCTGGTGGGCTGGAACCGCTGACCTTGTGGTTAGCAGTCCAACACTTAAGCCACTGCACCACTAGGGCTCTGTAAACATGAGAACTCCAAGGACGCTCAGCTTCCAACTGACTAACCCTATTTGAAGGGAAACGTCTTCACTGGAGCCTCAAACCCGCTGTCCCTGAAGATGGAGGAGGAAACGAACCCCCGGCCTCCGGATCCCATCTCTGCTCTCGATTCTTATCTTGGAGGTGGTCTAAGTCCGGGTAGCAGGTGGGCTTTTCTCTCTGTTCTCCTGGGCTGGACTCTCTCTCTGGAGTGAGACAGGGACCCAGGAGGGAGGGGAGATGGCTCAACAGTGACTCTCACACTGCCAAAAGGACAAACCTATCTGTCTTGGAAGAAGTACAGCCAGAATGTTCCTTAGGAGCAAGGATGCTGAGGCTTCTTCTCATGGACTCGGGATGTGTTGTCAGGAGAGACCAGTCCCTGGAGAAGGACATCAGGCTCAGTATAAAGTAGAGGGGCAGCGAAAGAAAAGAGGAAGGGCCCGCAAGGAGATGGGTGGACACAGTGGCTGCAACAATGGGCGCAAACATAGGAACCATTGTGAGGCTGGGGCAGGGCTAGGCAGTGTGCAGAGGGTCGCTATAGGTTGGAAGGGACTGGATGGCACCGAACAACAGCAAGCATCTTAGAGTAACAGACAACCCCCCCTTGACTCC